GACCTGCTGTGACCAATCACAGCAGGTCACATGACAGTTGTATACAATGGATGGCTTCATTCATGCCATCCATTGTATACTAGTGTCTAGCTGTGAATGGTCACAGCTAATCACATGCACATGTCATGTGATTAGCTGTGGCCAAATCACAGCTAAGCACAAAAAAAAAAACCCTGAATGAATCGATGTCATTCAGGTAAATGCTTGCTTATAGCAAAGTAATTCTTTGCTACAAGCAAATTGTGTAAAAAAAAAAAAAAAAAAAAATACTGATCACTTCCCCAAAGTAGTACAATGTTACTATGGTAACATTGTACTACTTTGGACATAGTGAAATATGAAAAAAAAAAAATCTTTACATTTAATAAAAAATTTAAAATAAAAAGAAAAAATGTATAAATATATTTTTTTTCACGCTGTCACCAATCAGTGTCCCTGATCAACCGCCATGCCAGTTATATGATGACGCTGTACTGCACTGGTGACATTATGTAAAAAAAAAACATAGTGAAAATAATTTTTTTAATTTTTTTTCATTTTCCGAAAAATTATGACAAAAAAAATACAACTTCAAAAAAACTCGCCATGCCTCTTATGAAGTACGTCGGACTGTCTACTTTGCAAAAAGGGGTCATTTGGGGGATATCTGTACTATTCTGACATTCTTGGACCTCAAGAATTTAGATTGGCTGTCAGTACTTCAGGATTGATCAATATTCAGATCTATGCCATAGTTTGTGAACTCTATAACTTTCCTACAAACTAAATAATACATCCTAATTTGGGTTATTTTCACCAAAGACATGTAGCAGAATACATCTCGGCCTAAATTTATGAAGAACAATTATTTATTTGCAAACTTTTATAACAGAAACAAAGAAAAACTTGTTTTTTTTTTTCAAAATTTTTGGTCTTTTTTGTTAATTTAGCAAAAAATAAAAGCCCCAGTGGTGATTAAATACCACCAAAAGAAAGCTCTAGTTGTGTGAAGAAAATGATAAAATTTTAGTTTGGGTACAATGTTGTATGACCGCGCAATTGTCATTCAAAGTGTCAGAGCGCTGAAACGTGAAAACTGGTCTGGGCAGGAAGGTGTAAAATTGCCCGGTATGGAATTGGTTAACCCCTTTGCGCCCTTTGCACCAAATGTGCGGCCGCTCCCACATTGGGCCTAGACGCCGAGCGGCCACACATTTGCGTCCATGTAACTAAATACATATGTGCTGAGAGCGTGCGCCCTGCGCGCTACCAGCACACATGTGTGGTACTCACGGAAAGGTCCCGGTCCGCTCTTTCGAACGGGACCTTTCCCGATCATGTGACCGCCGTGACGCGTCATCACGGCGGTCACATGATTCCTAAGCCACGCCCCAACCGCTCCGCCTCCCGGCGTCTGAATCTCTTAAAGGGCCGGGAGGCATCGGCGGGAAGGGGTTAAACACTGTAGAATGTAGAGCACCCATTGAGCTCAGGTAGGGAGTTAACTGTGCTCACAGGTAACACGAGGTGTCTGGTATGGAACCCTGCAGGTAGTTGTTGATTTCCAACCCTGCAAGTAGTTTACAATCCAGTAAAGGCTTACCTTAGCACAATGTACCTTACAGATTGGTGCAGTATATCTTCAGGAAATTTTAGTGGTTTCCTGCAAAAGGGAGCCTGGCATGTTTTGGAGATCATGCTGGGTTTTGTGTAATTATATTCCTGTCAGATTATTTCCTTAATGAGCAAGTGAATGAAAGCGCAGACTGTGCCAACATGCAGCAAAACCTGCCCAATTGCTTTCATCTACATAGCCAAATAATGTTGTGTGTCTGCCAGGGCTTCCCAATTAAATCCTCTGTGAAGATTGCTAGCAGAATTCAGATTTTACTTGGCCCAAGGCCTTGTCTGTTCTGCATTATTTTGTATCCATAGAATTGCTGTATAGAGAGCTCATTGTACCTGTAGTCACACAACACTGATATTTGTATTGGTCGTCTTCTAGGTTACACGTTTTTACTGTTTATCTTTCAAAAGACGTGACATAATGTTTTCATGTTTGATTTATTGACTTCTTTTATACCAAATAATGATATGGGGTACAGTGCATGCTGTATTTGTTAGATGGTGTGCAGATGAATGCGGAGACCCTGCAACTTTTTATGGCTTCTTAGCATCATCAACGCAGGCCAGTGCTATTCTGAAGCAATAATGCCACAGCAATCACATTTCCTTCATAATAGTTCTAAAGATGTACCTGAAGTACATTTTATTTAAGATTACTTGCCAAATGCGAAAAGGGCAAATTGTTTTGGGCCATCTATTCTGCTGGAACATGTAGTGGTTGTATGTTTTGCAATGCCTGTATTTAAACCTTTTGGGTGGATGTGTAGCAAACAAGGTCACAATACCTCTACAGAACCTTTTTACACAGGCAGATTCAAATGTCTGATATGCTGTACATACTCTTCCAGATGGGTTTAATATCACACAGTAAATATTGCTTTGGGCTCCAGTGAGTTGAATAATCTGCCAACCTTTTAGGATGTCTATTGACTCCTGATCTCTGTATTGTAGCTTGTGCTCATGCTCATGCCCTTCCATGAAACTCTCATTCTCTTATAGATGTATTCATCAGTTATTTAGTCTATAATACAAAGTGTGACATCCCCATTTGATGTTATGGCAACTGTAGTTTGGTGGACGAAATATGTGATTTTAGCCGGCCATAGATAAATCAAATCTCAGCCAATTCAGCAGAGACCAGGCGAGATTCAACCCACTTACGGGCAGGTTAGTTGTGCTGATGCAGATACATCGACTTCAGTACAACCAGGCTGTCAGATTTTTTTTTTTGCATATAATTACTGTTGACTGCTATAGCCACTAGCAGTAATCATTGGGTTTGCTGACAGGGGAGTCTCCCCACCAGCAGAACTTAATAGGTCCATGGGAGGGATCAACACACCAGTGTTGATAGGGGAATTGAGCGATTTTCTTTCCTGCAACCCACGGTTGCAAGAAAGAAAATTGCATCATCTGTGGCTTGCTTTACATTTTCTATTTAGTGATTGTTCATAGAGTGACAAAGGCGCAGTACACTACAATGCCTAATGAGTTGTAGAGCCATAACTGTTGTAATCTGTTTGGGCCAAATGTGCTGCATGAGTGTAACTGTGGAAGATAATGAATGACATAGGTTGGAAAGGCACACTATAGACATGTTTTTAGGAAGTTGCAAAAGGGTAAACATGTCAAAGGATGTGTGTTTTACTCATCAATGCCTGTTCTTTATACATGGCCTTCCATAACTATCCATCATTGACCTTTTTTTCCTTCTCGCCTTGATGTAGATACTGATATACTGTGACACTGCAATCTGTGAAGTGAGTAACAGATTAGCAGTCTCTAAAATAAGATCACCCGTAGCCTGTCTTTTTATATGTAGGTTTTAATTGGTTCACTACTGGGGTCCTATTTATTTGTGGCATTATACTGACAAGGCAGAACTGTGCAGTCCATGTGTCTTAACCACTTTAAACTAGTGTCTGAAAAATGCAGCCCTCTTGACTGTGTCACTAGCTATACTTTATTAGATCCTTGGTGCCCAACTTGTGGCCTGAGGGCCACATGTCTCTTTTGGTACTTGTTGTGTGACCTGAGGACCCTAGCAGTCTAGGAACATTGATTTGTAAAGAAGCTTTCATAGCAGGGACCCTTTGTACCCTCCCCATGTTCTGAAGGACAACAGGCTGATCAGAAAAAAAAGAGAACGGATTCTTTAATAACATAAATAAATGCCCACTCACGTTTTGGCAAAGAGAAAACACATTTACATCCTCATGCTTGGGTGTACTGCATGGGTTAGAGGTTTTCAAAGTGTTCCAAGATGGTGTCCAACGCCGGTGTGCGTCACCACGCACCGGAAGCTGCGTCACGGTGTGCCTACGCGTTACCTCACTATACCCTGAGAAAGTCACAAGGCAGTACACCCAAGCATGAGGATGTAAATGTGTTTTTTTCTCTTTGCCAAAACGTGAGTGGGCATTTATTTATGTTATTAAAGGAGATTTAATTACAAAATTACTGCACTATGAAGGATCTCTTTCTTTCTCACCATGGGTATTGGTGAGAAACATATTTAGCTGACACACCTTTCCTGAGAGGCCTGGGGTATCTGATATAATACCTGGGAGAGGGACTACAGGTGAAATACTACCATCCAGGATTGGATTAGAATCTAGGAGTGATCCTGAAAGTGAAGTGGCCCATTGGGTCGCCTAAAGGAGGTGAGGAGGCAATTTAGCCGCTGTGGATAAAGTTTGCTGACACTTTCATGGATATCATCACCATCATCACGTTGCATGATTTTTTGTTGTTTGAAGCACCAATTTATATTCATGGACTAGCTATTAGAGATATATATTCGTGTGTGTTTTATATGTGATTTATTGTGTGGTCACATTGGCATTTATCACCTTTTTATTGTATCCCCTACAGGGGTCTATGTCGTAACATTATAGGTTGCAGTATTATTTACATTTGTGTTGTTGTATTTCACTGTTGTCAGGTCAGTTGTGTGACCACAGGTCACATTGGTTTGGGCACTATATGCACTTATATTTATTCATTTATGGTTCCACAGTTAATTATTTTTTCATTTATTTTAGCACAGTGGTTTATATAATTTTGATATAGATTTAGGGTAGCGCTGCACTAGTTTTGAGTATCCTACGTAGCTAAGAGTCACAAAACATGCTATATTACTGCATACACAGGGAAATCGGGGGAGTGCATTAGTACTTTTCACTTGGAGGGTATGTGCAACAATGACTAAACATTGCAGTTTCAGCATTAGTGAAAAGTGTGAGATTTAGTGGCACCTCAACTTTGAATATGTTTTTCCCTTATATTTAATAATTTAACAGATTTGAACACACATGTTGACGAACAGATTAAAAACAAAAAAAGATAAGATTGGATACATAGTTTTAGCATTTTTTGATATGTTATTTCTACAGATTGAACTGTTAAAATCGGCGTTGGAGTCTGCCATTTTGAGTGAGAAGGAAAAGGTACCATCTGAAAATGATGAAGTTTCAGAAGACACGTCAATGTGCCCTGAGGACTTGGAGAAGACAGAAGCAGAGATGCTGCCGGAATATCTTACTAGATTTCAGGTAAAATGAAATTGAATAGAGGAGTCTTTTTAATATGTAAATAAATAGTTTTTATTCTCAGCCTGCTGACATTTTATTCGTTCCACATCACTGCTCCTGCAGCTGCACAGAACACATCAGAATTATATTCAAATCATCTTTAGCAGGAAATTGCTCCGAAGAAATCTTATAGTCAAGGTCACGTGTCCAATGCTTGATTGTCTACTGGGATCCTTCCCACCCTCTTTCTTTCTAGCAATTCACGAACCTATTAGCTAAACTAGTATGTCACTGCGGATCCATCGCTCAGCCTTGAAAGATGTCTTCTGTTAGCACAAATCACAATGTGAGTTCCCATCAGAAAATTGTTAGAGCATTTCTGTACTAAATAATGACAGCAGTAGACCTCAGCATATTTCAAATGACACCCCCATTTCTCATATCAAGGCTTTTAGTGAGGATTAAAACAGGGGTAAGTAATTAGGGGGAGGCAGAGACCTACTTTAAGAATGCACAAGCCTGTAACAATCTACCATGATAAAAATGACTGTTTTTGATCATTTTATTTTTTAAGAAGGGAAGGGAGAAGATGTATCTTTTTAAGCAATATTGCTACCCACAAAATTGCTATAAATAGCCCAAATCTAAAACTTAAATTAAGATATCTAACTTTGGTGAGAAATTTGGGTGGCAGGAGAAGTAACCCAGATGCTTAGTGAAAATTAATTGGTGCTGCGCCAATTAATTTTCACTTAGCATTGTTCCATTTGTTATATGGTAAGGTTTTAGCAGCTTTATATACAGATTAGGTATCTAGAGCGCGGGAGGACTACATAAAGATAAACCAGATGCTTAGCAAAGGTCCTAAAGAAAAGGTAAACAATCCTATACAAAATGGCAGACAGAAGGCATAAAACAGATACCCAGCAATGCTCTGCAGCAGAAGGACAAGCAGCGTGTATACTTCAGCATATCACAGATGCAAGCAAGATGTAAGGCAAGGATTGCCAGAAGAAGGGCAGTCAGTGGGTATACTTCAGCAGTCAATGGATGTGAACAAGATACCAGTCAAGGATGGGCAGCAGAAATGCAGTTAGCATGTATACTTCAGCAGGCAGTAGATGCAAACTGCCTTTCTGCTGCCCACCCTTGCCTGGTTACTTGCTCATATCTATTGTCTGCTGAAGTATACATGCTAACATTTATCTTGTTTGCATCTTTTGTCTGTCGAAGCATACTTGCTAATCGCCCTTCTGCTGCCCACCCTTGCCTGGTATCTTGCTCGCTCGTATCTACTGTCTGCTGAAGTATACATGCTAACTACCCTGCTGCTAGCTATCCATGCCTGATATCATGTTTACATTTTTTCTGTCTGCTGAAGTATATATATTACCTGTCAAAGATTGGCAGCACAAGGGCGCAACTGGCCATTGCAGACCATCCAATAGTCTCCTTTTCTTGATTGCTATTTTAAAGTGGAACTTTAGTCAGAAAATGAAGTCTTGCTAGATAACTTCAGGCTGGCAGCTTTTGCAGGTATAATTATGCAAAACATTAAAAAATAAGTGCCTATACTGTTTAAAATCCAGTTTATACGCTGTCTCACCTTGCTGTCCACATGCTCAGTTGCTCTCTATTTTTTAGGCAGTGTGCTGAAAATTTAGAGGCTGATCTGCTGACAGCATAAAGATTTACTGCTGCTCAGAGGCTCTGGGCTTCAGCAAAATGGCGGCCTCCAGCAAGAAGAAACCAGAACAATTCTGGAGGTGATTTACAGCACACGCTTATTTTTTGGTAGCATAATTATTCATGTGAAATGTATGTTCCTTGCTAAAGAACATTCTTTTTTTTTACCAAGTTATGGATAAAATTCTGCTTTAATTTCAGCGGTGGGTAACTGTTTTGAAGCAGTGCAAGGAATACTGCAATTCCGTCTTAAAAATAAACACTGATCCCTATAACCTGCTATTATGTTCATTCACTGGCAATTTTAGTCTGGATTGTTGTGTGCTTTTCATTGAAATGTGTTTAACAGTACACAAATACAATGGCATGTGGTGGTTTTGGACATACTCTGACAATACATTTCTTTCTACTGCTAAGACGTTTTTTTTTTGATGGCTCGGACAGTAAGAATAACAATATGTTTGTTATCAGTGCCTCTGCCTTCTTCTCAAAAGGCAATTGTTTGTGGCTTCACTGAAAATACCTAACTGGCTGCAGTCATTGCCATTTCTGCTGCAAATTAATCATCTGAAATTTTAGCCTGCAAAATGTATGCCTTTACAGTACATGCGCTGTACAGGAAAATACATATTGCTTCAATAATTGATGATAATACATGTAAGTATTTATAGAACATGTACAGTGCTGAACAAGACTATTTTTTCTATTATTAATGATAATGCAAATTACATGTGACATCTGATTGACCATTAGCTTTCATAGTTCTTGGACATGCAAATACTGTAAATTAACGGAAATATAGGATCGAATACTACAAAAGATTGTGCTGTGACGCCTATATTAGTGGATAACTGATACAGCGATAATTCAATGTTTAGAAGAAGTGGAATCATCTTTGAAATCCTTATGAGTCTTAAGAACACCTGGAGTTCTCCGCCCCACCAAGTTGTTATGACCATGCTAAGTAAATTGGAATTAATTTCATTTTACATTTTGGAGAGTGCTTCAGTGATTTATCCTCTGTTGCATAATGATTATGAAGGCTTAAGAAGACAATGGATGAATGAAGCCTTCTAGATCCACCTATTTTGCATTTGTTAGTTTTGGGGTGGATTAAAGGCATATTTAGCACAATGTTCAGGTATAGGAATTTGTTATTGTGTGTAGACTCCCAATGCAGTGTGCTACATCAACGGCATGTTCTATTAGCATCATTTATTTTTTCACATAGCTTATTATTATTTTAATGAATTTGAATCTCAGAATTTATTATTCCCTTTTACTGAGCTCATACACGAGGGGCAGGAATGTCTGCCTATTATGACCACTGTGATCACATGATCGTATTCACTCCCACCAGTTCCTGATCATTAGTACAGACTAAGTGTCTTTGGCAGCTAGGTTTCTGTGCAGAGCACGCAATGAGTGTGCTCTCTTAGCACGGAAACCTCTGTTGCCCATAGGCACATATGTGGGCGGTAAAGTCCATCGTCTTTGTCACCACACTTGCGTATTCCTCAGAGAAAGTCAAAAAGACACATTGAGATAATGTACATGTAGCCTTACAGTGGAATAATTAACGTCTGCAATACTTGTCGGACCTCCAGCAATACAAGTTCTCTCTTCAGAACTTCCATCTTCACCCAGTTCAGCATCATCAGCTATCATAATTGGCCAGCCTGTGATGACATAACTGCTGCATGATCGCACGGGAGACCATTTGTCCTGGCATCAAGGCATGCTAAAATGTTATGCTGCAATAGATATGGTCTCTTCTGCAATAAAGTATTGTATGTATCTTCGGCATTAAAGGCTTCCTGCTAGCATTTGTTTAAAGTAAAGTTCTACTTTAGCTTGAGTTGTCCAAGTTTGTGAAAGGTTAAACACATGATAAGAAAATACATAAGCAGAGGTTGTTTTAAATAAAAACATTTTCCCACTGCAATCATATGAGCAGCTGAAGCCATGTGGAAACTGAAATTTCCTCCCTCCCTGTATCCCAAGCCTCCCCTATTAATCTCCTTGATCATTCTGAATTGCCCAAGTTTGTTACAGGCTTAAATGGGTAGGGTATAGTGGTTCTTTAGCTTAGGGTGACACAAGACCTTGTCAGATGAGAACGTCTCCTAAAAATATTTGTATGCCCAACATGACCAGAGAAATTCTCCTTTGCCGCCATACTGAAATGACAGAGTGATCATCAGTTCATTCACTCAGATTTTGATTGCACAGTTTTCATTTAAAAAATATACAGAGTCAAAGTTCTTGTGTGTTACTGGCCAATATCTCCTTAGCCTCCAGCAGTAGTAGTAGATTTGTAAAAACTTATAAATTTAAAATGTAATATTGATACTAATTTAATTTGTGCTAATTGATCATGTTATCCAATCTTTCCACCAGGAACTTCACGAAAAGCTTGAATCTCTTGGTAAAATTGAGACTACTGACCTGCTGAACCTGACCACACATTTAGTCCTTGAGAAGCTGCCTGAATGTGAGAAGCCAGACATTGAAAAATATGAGGCACAACTCAAGGAATGGCAAAGTGATGAGGCGGGGCTGATAGCAAGAGAGAAAGAGATAAGGGAGAAGCTAAAAATTGAGTATGAGGCCAGAGAGGCAGCCAAGTCCTCTGCACAATAAACTGTTCTAAGCTGACTTGTGTATGATTCAACTTACGCTATGGGTCATCTCCCTGTATTAGCTGCCATTGTATTCTGTTATCGCCCTCACCTTTGTTTTACTATTCAGAAGTCCTATTGGCCACTAAGGGGTAGTGCAAACTTCAGGCAAGGTCTGGTTCATCCAGATGTTGGGCCAAGAACTTCCAAAGGCTGATTAATTGCCATATAAGACGGAGAAATGTTGTAAATAACAGATTGATATATCTGCAGATAATTGTTTTGAGGTAATTACAACCAGATTCCAGGCATGCCAGAAGGCTTGCAGCTAACCACAGAGCTAGGACCAGTTCTGCCATTTTTTAAAAAATGTATCTGCCTTTTACTGTACTGGTTTTAGTTGTGGGTCCAATCGATTGCTATGTCCTTGTCCAAACTAGGTTGTACTGTGAGCGACAATACATCTTCTTTATGAGGCTGGCAAAAGGAATATTTTGACCTGGTAGTAACTGACCAAGCTAAGTTTTTTTTGTTCAGTGGTGTAATTGGAAAGCAGTTGTGGCCACAGCATACCTCTGGACTTTCAGCCATCTAATGCAGCAATTTTTTCATTATGTAGATTTTTTTTACTATTTACAAAAACATGGCAGGAACTTGATCTATAACAAGTGAAGGGGGGGGGGCATACTTCAACTTTAAAGCTCAAGTTTAGTTAAAATGTATTTTTAGCCTCACAGCTTTATTGACCTATCTTGCCCGTAATGAAGTATATCCCTTGTCGTGGAGGCAGCTGGATTCTGTGGAAATCTTAACTGTAGGGATGCCGCACCCTGTTCCTGTCTCTGAAATTTCAGTGCACAGGTGGTTAACAGCTTTGGGTCTCTGTGCTGAATTCAACAAAAGAAGTTCCTGATGGGGACCCACCCCCCTCTTTCCCTTTCACCCATTGAGAAAGTTTTTGCATTGGTTTCAGTGCATGCAATGCAGTTCTGTCATTGCTTTTACTGCACTGCATGTTACAGGCAGTGAACACAAAGAAGTTTTGTAGAGGAGAGGGCGTGTCCTAGTTGGTAGTTTTTCGTATTGAATTCAGACCAAATACCTGAAGATATTAACCAGATGTGCACCGGCAGTTCAGAGACAGGAAGAGGATGGGGCATCCCTGCAGTGAAGATTTCTACAGGATCAAGCTGCCTGCACAGCGTGGGACATACTCAGTTACAAGTAAGAAAGGTCACTGAAGCTGTAGAGCTAAAAATAATTTTTAGCTAAACTTTAGTATTAAGGAACTTTCTGTTTTCTTTTTTGCACCAAAAGTTTATGATCACTTATGATTCTAACAGAAAATTAGGCATTTAATTTTTGTAAAGGTATTCACAGTTTGTGTATTATATGATAATAAATGCTTGTTATGTTTCTGGAACACTTTGTTTTTATTATGTTTGTGTGTCGGTTCCATAAACTAAATGTGGAATGATGTAGAATGATATAATACTTACTGTATTTCATGCTGAAGAGAAGCAATAAGGCAGTGCAAGCAGTGATGATATGCAAGGTGCGGTTACCCATAGCAATAAAAAAAGCACATAATAGCTGAGACCTCTAAACTGAAATCCTCTTAGGTGTTCTAGGTAACCACCTTCTGCATTCACACATCCACTCCCTTTGCCATTTATACTGTTTCTAGAATGAACAGGAAAGTGTGTTATCCAAACTTGATTTGCAGGAGATATTAGAGCATTCACTGGCTGATCGGTTGGTTGCCATGGGGATTTTAAAACAAAGGGAAGGCTTTAGGATAGTTCCAAATTTTGGAGAGGAGCACAGATACAATAAATTGAGTTCCATTAGGGAGATTCACCCACTCTATTTGTCTTGCTAACCAGTATCATTGAAAGTGAAAGTAAAAGAAAATCCCGTATTTTGGATGGTCACCTGAAATATAATAGTGGGGAAATTTTCCAATGGGGACAATCTTCTGGTGACCTTTGGGGGCCCCAAGGGATTCCCTTAATTTGCAGGGATTTCCTCTCACTTCCCGTTTTGGCAGTGGGACAGGAAGTGAAAGTAAATCTTCCCAATGGGACACAAATGGCAAAAAAAACAAATCTGACAGGAGCTATAATCCTCCCTTGCTCTATCCAGAATTAAACAAAAAAAGTTTTGCAATTATTTACACTTTCAGTTGCAAGATGTTTGTCGGTTTCCTTGCATGAACTGGTCATTTCAAAATCGGAGCTTTGACCAGGGATCCATGAACGTTTTTTTTTTTTTTTTTTAACCCACATTGGATCCTTTGCATGCTAAAAAAAAACAAATTTCTGGTTCAACTTTAACGTTTGTACAGATAGTAATACATTCTCATCAAGCAAACTGTGATATGATGCAGAATGTATAATTGACTCAATGATGGTCAGTTGCTCAAGCCCTGAAATAAAGCAATTCCCAGCCTTACCATTTCCTTCACCATGTTTCACAGTTGTAACAAGTTTCTTCTCCTGAAATACTGTCTTCGGTTTATAGCAAATACGTATACTGGTTATGCCGACCAAATATCTCAAGATTTAGCACACTTCCATTTCCAGGGAGGTCTCTTTGTTTTGGACAACAAACACTTTTCTTTAACACATCTCTCATGCAGTTTGAATTGAAGCATGGACATTGACTTCAATGTTACAAGAAATACCTGAACACCCCCCAATGAAAATGTGGGGTTCTTGGAGACTTTTTACTATCCAACAGTCAGTTCTTGGGTTGAAATGGGGGGACAGCCAGTCTTGGACAAATTGGCAGCGACTGATTTAACATATTTAAACCATGTGCCAGACTTATAGGCATCCACAACATTCTTTCTGAGAGCCTTAGGGAGCTAAGGCTTGCATCATGACACCAATAACCCAGAGAATGCAAAACCTCAGAAGTCTTAGGTTTAAATGTTCTACCTGCATACTTTCTAAGGAGGTTCTTTGGCATCCAATCTGAAACACTGGATTCCAATTGCATGGATGTGAAGTGGTGGGTGTATTTACTATTTCCATATGACAAATCTGCATTTCTTATTCATATATCACAGGACACAGTAGGGTTAATTCTTAGACCATTGGATTATGTTTCACCTCCAGGATATTGGAAATTGGTAAATAGCAAAGCTTGACCCAGCCCTGCATTACCCCTCCCACTGCCAGTATTGCCTCAGTCTTTTTGCCAGTGTCTGTTGGTGATGGACCTGTCTTTTTCTACTGAGAGAGTCTTTCTACCAGAATGCAAAGATATCTTCTACAACTGGTTTTGTCTGCTGAGCCTCTGTACTCTATAACAATAGTTTACTAGATCGGTTCCTACAGACTACTGTTTCCAAAGAGCTATCCCCAGACCTGAAGGGAAGAACAGGGGAAGTCTTGTAAGCTGCGTCTGGCACTGGATCCCACATGTGACTATCACCTTGGCATGCTATTGCAATGCATTAGTTAGCTAGTAGGGTGCTATACAAGTCTAGGGCTGTAGTATGCAGAACCATAGCCCTGTCCCTGAAGAGCCTTCGAGGTATGCCAGTACCAGGTGAAGATTTAGACATTTGTTGGCTCTTCTACATGCCAAGTAAGATGACCTTATTGTGTATGCCAGGAGACCACCCAGTCTAATATATGTCAAGTAAGCTTCAAGTCTGTCTCTGTCCAAGCCACACCCTTCTAATGTGTTTTATTCTCTCACGGGCTTAGTCATGGAGGTTCAAAATGTCTGTCGAGGCTCATTGTTAAAGAGGCATTATGAGGGACAAAAAGCCTATTGAGGAGCATGAAGGGCACAGTTTGTCAGATGGCATTATAAAGTGGCATACCGTAATAGAGTAGCATAATGTCTTTCAGAGGACAGGATGAGTAGGCAGAGTATCTATCAAGGGTCTTATAAGGCTTGCGATTTTTATTTAGTCAGTTTTTTTTTTTTTTTTTTCAACTCCCAAGTTTATTTAGTCCATTCAAGTGTACACATGCAACAGTACCCTGATAACAATGCCACAGTAGGTTCAATTTTGTGTGGTACAAGTGTATTCATTTCGGGGCAAATTAACATACTGGCTAGTATGCACAAATGTGTTTAAGCTGTAGTGGAGAACTGTGGTAAAAGAAAAATGGGCATGACTATTTCTCCAAAGGTCCATCCAGGTTGGCAACAAGAAATGAAGTGGATATATATCCTCCAGTTCACCAGCTGTAATCAATAAAACATATACTTCCACCTGTCTAAACCCCAGCATACATAGCAGGATTCAAAATAGTGTGAGGAAAGGCACACTGCAGATGGTTTTTACAAAGCTCTTCCAAGGCTGCCAGGTCTCCTGGAAAGCCTCGAGTGTATTTGATAATGTATTAACTATTCATGTGTTGCTTTAAATTTTGGACAGCTTGATGTAGACCATTGCACTAGGCAAATCTTATTTATGCCACTGTTTAGCGACAGTCCATCTAGTAGTTACAAACGCAAAGTTGAATTGTTTCTTTTGCAAACAGGATAAACGGGGTATGCATTAGGTAAATCTATCCATGATGTAAACCAAAGCTGTCTGCCTAACTTCTGACTGAAGAGAAATCACAAACCATCACTACGAACCATGAGGGAACAAACCCTGTGTCCCCTCATCACACAGGGCGCTTGACAGTTACTCTGCCTACTCATTCGGCCCCCTCAAAAGACATTTTGCTACTCTATAATGCCAATCTGTGCCCTTCATGCTTCTTAACAGACTTTTTTACAGCCTACCAAACTATGAAATAGAGCATCTTGATTACTCCTTCATCAGCCTATGAAGAGAAGAAAATAATCTGGGCTTACCAGTTAGTGTGCAGTTGTCTAACGTTCGTATTATACCTTCATAGGCAAGAGTCTGCTTACGTCAGGTGATATAAACATTTGATAGCATTGAAATTGGATAGACTGAAGGATATTATCAGCCATAGCTTCTGATTTATTTTCAATAATGTACAGGCCCAAAACGACAACTATAAATGGCTTTTCGAGAAAAAG